GGGGGGGGGGGGGGGGGGGGGGGGGGGGGGGGGGGGGGGGGGGGGGGGGGGGGGGGGGGGGGGGGGGGGGGGGGGGGGGGGGGGCGAGCAGGCCGGCAGGCGGAGTGGTTAGAGGCAGGCAGGCAGGCAGGTCAGCGGTTAGGAGCCAACAGTCCTGGATTACGAGAGGGATGTCCGACTGCTGATTTAGGCCCGATCCCTGTAAACTGGCAGGACATTTTTCAAGTGGTCCCAAATTGGAGAGGGTGCAAGCCAGACTGAGGAACACACCCTCCCCTGTGCACGAATTTCGTGCACCGGGCCACTAGTTAGTCAATAAAGGTAGGCCACATTGATTGACATAGCATTGGGACAAAAGAAGACTTTTCTATTATACTCCACTGTGGTAAGATAACAGCCAAGGTAAATTCAGATATTTCATGTGACTCTAAAGTCAATATATTAGTCAATAAGGTAGGCCACATTGATTGACATAACATTGGGACAAAAGAAGACTTTTCTATTCTACTCCATTGTGGTAAGATAACAGCCAAGGAATAGTATGCATTTCTGTTTACTACACTTTTAGAGGCATAGCATAACCTTAGCGCAGTGGTCGGCAAACTCGTTAGTCAACAGAGCCAAATATCAACAGTACAACGATTGAAATTTCTTTTGAGAGCCAAATTTTTTAAACTTAAACTATATAGGTAGGTTCATTGTTATTAACTTGATTAGGGTACTCCTAAGCTGGCCTTTGCTAAAAACATCCGACCGACACCCCCCACTTCTTCTAACGTTACTTCTTCAAAATAGACTCGCCCAGGCCGAAAACTGACTTCTGCGCATGGGCCACGAAGTTTCAATCCCACTGTACATGCACGCCCGCATGTGGTATTTTGTGGAAGAGCCACACTCAAGGGGCCAAAGAGCCGCATGTGGCTCGCGAGCCACGGTTTGCCGACCACTGCCTTAGAAGAAGGTTAGGGGGGAGTATTTAAGCTCATGTACAGGATTGAACTCATGTGAGAAATAGACACATAGATGGGTGTGTTTATTCTTCTTGCTGACCCAAAGGTATGACTGATTGCAAATATTTGAAGAGCTCTTATGTGGAAGAGCTGTTGGCTTTTTCATTGCTAAATGAGGGTACAAAACTAGAACCAAAGTGTTAATCAAAGATTATCTTCATCTCAATGTAAAAAAGAAGTGTCAGAATTATATCCAAAGAGCTGGCTTTTGAGGTAAGGCCTTCTTTGTTACTGAAAACTAGATAAATTATAAAGCAAAAGCTGGGTAAATACTAGGAAAATGTGTTGTGGAGGGGATCCAAGCATTGGAAAGATAGTTAGACTGGATGACTTCTAAAATCTACTTCAAATCTAGTAATACTGAATCTATGACACTCTAACATTTAAGCCTATGTCAAACAACCTTTTTTTTTTTTTTTTACAAAATATATACTATCAATTGTTTACTATAAAATGCATGTGTATTTTTAAAATTATAGACTTCAGAGTTAGACAATATCTAAGATCATGTAGTGGTCCACATTCTATAGTATGTAAAAACAGACGAGTTTAATAATGGTTAAGGGTACTAGTTCCCAGTTCTCACTACCTAGTCTAGTTCTCCAGACAATATACTCTTGGAACTGTTTTAATAAAAAATACCTCATTGGGCTCCTAGTCCCGTGGAACAAGTTTGGCAACTTAATGAAATTAAAGTTTATAACTTTTTGAGGATATTGCACATAAGTGCATAAAAATTAAAAAGTAATTCAAGGTAACAGTAAGAAAGACATCATAGAATACAGTATAAATTTTTTTTAATTAAAGATACAGACATAATGCAAAAAAGGAGTTCAGATTATTAATTTTCTCTCCCTAGATACATTTGATTCTACTAGGAAAATCTGAGTGAAATTTTTCTACAGAATTGAAAAGGTGTACGGCTAGAGTTTCAAATAGAACTGATGCCTGAGAAAGGGTATTGAAGTGACATGAAAGAAAAAAACTCTAAGGGGAGTGTGCTAGAAAAGAACTTGGGTCTTTTCTGTGGTTAGTCAGGAAGTGGGTTATTGGCTGGGGTCAGGAATGGGAAACCAAATTATCAAGCAAAGGAAATGGTTGGGCTAAAGATAAAGTTACTTAACTGTGGAGAGACTGGAAATGCAGAGCTCAAAAGGCAACAACTTGAAGCAGAGCCACGCACACAAATT